GAATTATTCTTGTGGACTACCAGCATCAGCAGTTATGAAAAGAAACTTAAAGCAGGTACGGCTAGGAAGTTTGTTAATGCAGTTCAGATTCCTGAATTTTAAACTCCAAACACTGCACTGTATTTTCCAAACCTCTCAAAACCTTTATTAGCACATATGGAGTCTACAGTCTCTCAACAATAGATTCCTTTGTATTTTCCTAGCACGAAGGAAGCATCTGGATGAAATGTGAGTAACAGAAATGCACACAGGTGTAACGCCAAGTGTGGATCCCATGCAGAGTTCTGCTCTTTTAGAAATGAGCTTAATGAAACAAAGATTAAAATTAGCAAGCAAAGTATAAATTCAGGAAGGAGGCTCAGGATAAGGGAGTGATTAATATCTTTAAGTGACAACTCCGAGGATTTTCCCTATTCCAAAGAATTCTACAGAATATTAAAAAAATGCAAAAAAAACTATGCATGTCAGTATACGTGTAAAATAAAGTGCAACTCAGCAAGGAGGAATAGCATTAAAAGCAAAACTAAGCAGTTAAACAACCACGCTCACCTCTTTTGGAGCTCGTACTAGTGTTCAGTCTGGTTATAAATAACTTTCCCAAGGTAGCAGTCATGAATTCCTGACACAGTCAATTCGTTAGCCTAAACATCATCACATTTAATGGTAAAATAAAGACAACAGTCCAGTGCGGGTATTAGCTTTGAAGGACTTAAATCCTGTAATATGTAACAGTGTTAAATAAGAAATAGGTGAGTGAATACAACAAAATGGTACATCTCCAGAGAACAAAAGTAAAATCATGTATTTTGATGCAGCTTTTAAGAAGAGAAACTCACTTGTTACTCAATTTAGAGAGAAGCAAAGGGTTATGCTGCAACTCCCTCTCCCAACTCTACCCAGCAAAAAATGTTTGGTTTTTGTTTTTGTTTTTTTGCTTAATTGCTTTTGGCCCAGTCATCTGAGACAGGGAAAAAAGTTTTCATGTAAACAGGACAGAGCTGGCAAAAAAATTACTTCGTGGAGAAATAGCAAATCCACAATCTTCACGCTGAGAGAATGGAAGCCAATGAAAATCAGTGCATAGGAGGAGAAATGACATAA